ACGTTTCATTATACATTTCATTTGCGTATAATTGCAGTAATGATTTTCATCTGTTGGTTCAAGTGAATTAAAATAAAATATGATTGGCAATTATGTCGCTAATTTTAAAAGAATTTCTTACATTCACTCGGTGCAAAGTGTAATGTGCAGTTGCAGTGTATCATCTCAAATTGAATCCGAGAATAAATAAAACATGATGTTGAACCATAGTGCAAAGATGCATTTGGGGGCCAACGTTCATCTGAAAATCGACACTGTCGCTTTTCAATCGAAAGATCTTTTATATTTGCCGAATTTCTCATTTGGGTAGTCTGTCCGAATAAATCATTCATTATTTTTATATTTTAATTTTATGACTTAAAAATGCGAAGTATAATCGATTCAACCTTTACTCTGAATTCTTGATCAAACGAAGGAAATAGCTCAAAATTATAACTAAAAAGCGTGCTCGGAAATTCATCTGGACTCTGAAGGAAAAGCTGAAAAGAAATGAAAATGTTTACTGTTGAGTTAGCAGAAATAAAATATTACTAACCACAAAAATATAATTTTTCCTTTGAGTTATATCAAAAGTGAGTTTGCTGTTTTTATCGTTTGCAGAGTAAGTCAATGGCAATCGATCCCAATCTAAATTACTGATCAAATAAAATGAAATTGACATTTTTACGAATAATGATTCTTATATTTACTAGAAGGAAATTGAGTTCGCCATGTAACACACACCGGCACCAAGAACTATTTTTCGTTTGAAAAAAATGTTGCAGTTGTCATAATGTCTACCATTGAATTGAATATTAGAAAATATCTCGTCACACTGAGGCCATAGCTGAATGAATTCAAATTAAAGTTAACATCAATCAATAACAAAAAAGGGATTTCGTTCGCAAGAACCAACCATTTCTTTTATAGTCTTAACATCCACACCGCAAGTGCCGTTGGTTGCTTCACAAGCATCCATATTTCGTTTAAATATTTGAAAACTGGGATTGTGATAGGCAAAATCCATAATTTGGGAATAGAAATCCTTGCTGGAAAATTGAAATTTAATTATGAATTTTGGACTGAACATCAATACACTAAATCCTAATTACGATTTGGGTTCATCAATGTTATGTTCTGCGTAATATTTTTGAACAAATTGCTTTATTGCTGGGTCTGCTTTAATTATTTTCGGTTTTTCATAATTAGGCGTAATGCAAATCGAAATGCCAGGATATATGTGCTTCTCATTTAACTTGATCACATTCAAATGGGTAACAAATAAATTATCCAAAGAGTCATTTATTGTGTATAAAAATATCGAAATCATTGAAATTATGGAGACGATTATAATGCAAATCCAATAGATGCTAAAATTAAGAAATTCGTTGAGATCGTGTAAATAGTTCAACAAAATTTTATGTTCTAACCGATCGAAAATGCCATATTGAGTCGCATCTAAGTATCGAAGTCCATGTAAATTACTGTTGTGTAGAAAGTAATTAAGCCTGTTCCGAAGTATTCCAATGTGATTTCTATCATTTGAGAGGTTATTTTTAGTTTCAACATTTTTTTCACTTATTTCATGTTCGTTTTCAAATCGTCTCGAAGTGCTGGGGACTGAAATATTTCGCTGATTGGACATTTTAAACCCAAACGATCCTTCTAACTTCTGATCTGAACTTGAAACTAATTTGGGATTGAAACACGTTAGCCCAGCAGTCTGATGTTGAACTTTTCCATAGAATTATGTTGTGTTTGTGTTGAATCGCTTTCATGAATATATAATTCTGTTTGATATAATCCAATGAAATTATAAAAAATATAGCAACTAACAATCAATTAAGGTATAGATGGTATAATAATTTTTGTGGCATATATTATTATACTTTCATTGGTTTATAGTAAACAGAATTATATATTCGTGAAATTGTGTGGATCGGCGATTGGTTTTTGTTGAATCAAAAACACTTTTCACACTATTATTATCTGAAATTAATTTTCTTATCGTGTAAATTCCAAGGTAGATTACATTAAATGTGCATTGAGTAAAAATGCACACATTTCTCAGAATTCAAATAATTTTTTTACTGAAAATGAAATATTTTATGTCATGCGAAGTAAACATTATAAATTATGGCCGAAGCACCAGAAAGAAATGCGTTATGTTTATTGGAGTAAAAAAGTTGCTTCGATTAAAAAATTGAAATAAAAACACATAAATTTGTTCATTTTCTGCTAAGTAGTTTTATATTTGTACATGGCCTGGAAATGCCTATGTAATTTACATATAAACGAGTGAGACTCAAACATGTTCTTCTTTTTCCATCAAATATACCAGTGGCGCCACCAATTTTACATATAAGCACATACAAAATTTTCAATATGGCTGCGCCCATGAGAGAGAAGATTTCGTCTCATTCATTTCCGCCCCATGTATTTGTACCACATGAAATAAAAGAAATGAAAAAGATGCAAAATATTGAATGGAAATTAATATTCTAAGTAGATTCCATTTCAGTTTGATCAAATGTGACACGTTTCACAGTAACTCTATTGTATTCGATTGTTTTCTCAATTGAAAATATTGACCAGCCATTGGGTAGACGCTCCTTTAGATAAGAGATCGGTTGACGAGTATATTTATGAAATAAGCGAAATGTAACCGTCTTTAATGGATTGTGATTACTGAATATCTCGATGATCTTAATTGCAGTATCAATTCGTATGCCCAGAAATTCAAGTGCTTCAAGCAATGGTACCGATTTGGTGATCTTTGAATAGTCGTCTATTACAAGTGCGTATGTTTCGTGGCGGCACCTTATTAACATTTTTTTTATCGATGGATTTTTCGCACAAAAATGATAAAAATAATCGGTAAATGCGTTCAATAATGCGACGTCCAATGCTTCCAGCTGATCGAATGAAAATGGAATTATATATGGAAAACTGCCACCGAAGTTAATTTCTGCGTCAGCGAATAAATACTTCACATGTTTCAAATGCCATACTGTACCATTGAAATGTTCAGTGAAAAAGCAGCGGTCCAAATAAATCTTGAATCCGGTAAGATTTTTATTATATTCGTTCATTGTTTGAAGAATATGCACATCATTTTCTCTAAACTGATTCCAACATAAATATTCGAGTTGTGGATTTAAGCGCAAAGTGTCCACGATGTTTTTTGTACATTCGTTGCATTCATAGTCCATCAGTATAGATAAATCTTTCAAATGCGGGAAATGATTTACCATACATTCACTGTTTGATAAAAAAGAACACTTGGTTTCCAATATTAGCTTTCGCATCTTTGGGAATATCCTTCCGAGAAAATCCTTCGGAAGCAAATCTATTCGGACATTATTTAAAAAATTTCCTATATGAACCCATTCAACCCGATTAAATGGTTTCTTGAAATTTTTTCGAATGCTATCGCCATTAAGCTCCTCAATGAAAAAAGTTTCAATGTTTTCACCACAAAATTCATAAATATATTCAATATATATGCGATCCAGTTCATCATTATAATCGTTGTTAGACTTTGATGCTTTATTATACTTATAGTTTATCCAAGATAGCAAGTGTCCAAAGCATCGCAATAGCTGCAAACCAAATTTGAAATCGTAAACGTAAATCCAGATACGATCTTCACCGAGCCCATATTTTGGCCTGTTGAAAGAACAATGATTAATAATTAACTTGAATCTTTTGGAATACTTTCGATCATAGACCAATCTGGCGGCAAGTTGCATTCGTTTGTTTGAATCGGCTGCATTAACAAGATCTTTCAATCCTAAATGCTCCAACACCGCTTCTAGGCAATCTAAATTCAGGTCAGTTAGTTTCATTTTAATTTTCAACTTATGACATATGCCCTGCCCTGTTAAGTGAAAGAAACTTGTGTTAATTTTGGTACAATTTTGGTTTTGTTTCGCTGAATTA